ATTCAATAGAAGAACCTTCGGTCGTATCACGCCTTACCGGCTCTTGACACTTCCTTAAAAGAAATGCCGCTCTTTCTTCTGATATATAGTTTGCTAGGATTTTAATGAAACTAGCGCGCGTACGAATTTTTTCCCGAAGGACATCCGCGAAGGTGGATGGAATCATGTTGTGACCTTTGCGGACCTCCTAAGCCTTTCCCTCTGAAGGGCTCTGCCTGTCGGAAGAGGAACACGCTTCGCTACGCCCCCAGCCTCTGAGGGCTCCCTGTGTGGAGACACACTCATTCACGGAAAATAGATAACCTTTGCCCGCACGGATTAGATAAGTGATCCCATGAAAGATACAAATTGACTAATGTTCTCGGTTGCCATGCTTAATGTGATTCGACCTTGAAGAAAATGTTTTTTTTAATTTTAAGCTTTAATCAACAAAGGAGATAGCCACTGTTTACTTATATCTTTATACCGTCACTATGGACGAGTTTGTTCCTTTGGGTAACATTTTTTTGTTATTTAAAGAATCAAACCATTAGTTTGACTGACAAAGTCATTGCAAAAAGTGCTTGTTTAGTTAATAATAATAATAATAATAGTAATAATAATAATACAAACATTTCTATTTTAGAACTCTAACACGTTTTACAATAAAATGTTTAAAAGCAGCAACTCAGTGAATAATAACTTCAAAAAATACCAGAGCAAAACTACAAATTAATTAGTTTCATTTGAAGATAATAGTTAGGTCAAGTTCAGCTGTTTATGCATCATATGAATTGCCTCTAGAAGGAAGGGGCAATGAGTTTCTTTCCTTGCATCGTTTCGATTCCCTTGTTTCGTTCCAGTAACATTGCAGACCAGTTGCATCAACCTCGCAGTGCTCAAATTGCTTCCAACACCTCGATAGAAGCGTCCATTGATACAAGTACGGAGTCTGGGTCGCTCTCTTCTCACAGCCAGGTAACTTTTTGCGACATTCCAAGTCAGATTCACCACATGGCCTGATCTGACATTGACGGCATCCGGCCTCATAGTACCCCCGAAGGTTTGCTTTTTTTCGTGGAGTCACTGTGTCCCAGTCCTCTCGCAGAAAGGAGAATTTCGTAAACAGCCTCCCGCCGTGCAGAATATCCCCAAACAAGAGGTACTCGACTCCCGTTCTGATCCCAAATGGTCCGGTTACTTTATCAGACGTGCTGCCGTCGGGGCTGTAAAGTTTCGTCTTGAATTCTGTTTCCAGCAAACCGAAGGCCTTACCTTGACGTCCGAGCGACAACCCTTTGAAAATTTCTTTAATGGTTATCTTGAAAACAAAATAGTTACCCTCTGTTTCAGGTCCCGAATCGATGTGGGCACGTATCACTGTAAAATAATAATAATGATAATAAAAATAAGATGATATCAATAATAATAATTAGATAATGAAAAAATACCGGTAACGTCAATAAACAATGGCATTTCCGACACTTGACCATGTTGACACTTTCCTTTGTCTCTCTCTCTCTCTCCTTTTTTTTTTCTTCTCTAAACCCATTGAAAAACGTGAAAACTTACACGCACAATCCGAAGTCAAATGTTTTTTCTTTTACCATCCTGGAACATGCACATAAATGTCCAAATTCAATCTAACCAGGACAGTTTCAAGTTGTGCTTTCTCTCAGTTGCGAAACGTTTTTTTTGATCTACAACTCTAAGTTACAAATTGTTAAAAGCATTATGATTTCTAAGGATCTTCAAACATTCTATAAACTCACCGAAATCCGCTTTACAAAAAGCTAGTTGGGGATGTTCCGACTGAATAATACCTCCATAACAAGATGCAATCAAACATAACATCACTATGAGACGCGGGTGAACTTCCATGGCTTCCAATTTCTGTTTTGACTTTCGCCTGTTGAAGTTCTTGAATCACCTTTGGCTGATTGAGAAAAGCGGCGGTTCGTCTATATTTATATCCTGTGTAACTGGGAGTTGGGTGGGCGGATTCCGTGAGGAATTTAAAGTGGACACGAAAATATCATAACTCGAAATACAAATGTTGACTGTTACCCGACTTCCGCCGAACATTCTAGGTTGGGACAAGCCCTCCACTTGGATGGAGACAAATTACACCTTAAGCGACGCGCTCATACGGATTTCAGTGCCTCTTTAGACTGGTAAAAATTTTACGGAAGTTATTCAAGCAATTTATTCAAGACAGATATCTTGATGAACACAGATTGTTTTCTCGAAAGAAAGAAAGAAAAAACCAAGATGAATTCATCTGCTGTTATATGCTAAAGACTTAGCTACTACGGCGAATGGAGTTACGAAGTCACGAAGGTCAAGTTCACAGAAATGCCAGATATTTTTGTAAGTTTGATGTTTTTAAACGTGTAAGCCAAAGGAAACTGAAAGATCGTTCTCCCCAGTGCTTTCGTTTGGCAGAAGTTTCTTAGGGTTTACGAAGTCACGCACGTGCCAAATGGTAAAATGAGTTAGAATTTCAGTAGGAAGTCACGTCCTTTCCCAACCACTTAAAGAAACAAAAAACGAAAAAGACCCAATTTCATTTGTAGAGAGGTTTTTTATAGAGAAACATTGAAACAGTCTTGTCATGTTTTCATTTAGTTATACTCAGCTCTGAGTGTGTTAAGGGGTTTCTCTTGGTGTTTTGTCAACAAAACGTGCCATATACCCGCTTACTTTCCTACGTAAAAGCAGTCTACGTCTTTGGACTCTAGGATTCTTTTACGAGCAGAATAAATTAAAGGTGAGCGAAGGCACGTTCGGATCGGAGCCAACTTGTTGATTTTTTTAAAGCTTATAAATAGGCTGTTATATAGGTTTTAAATTAAAGATTTGTCTGAAAGCTTTATGTTTTATTCACTTCCGCTTATTCCATATTTGACCACAATTCAGTTACAAGCAAGCCCCAATTATTTTTGTTCTGAAACCCGTTTCCCGCCTACAACAACCACAAAAGCCACTTGAGGGTTGTCTGGCCCGTATTGAATTGCAAACAGACGGAATAACGCACTTCTCTTCAAGTAGAAAAGAGCTATTGGCGGTCAGCAAAACAAATAATTGACGTAGCTTTTGTAACTCGATAACACTAACTGTTGCCTCAGTAATAGAGATTCTCGTCTGAGGATGAATTACTATTTCATAGCACTTGAGGCTGTCAGACGAATCATTTTGGCTGCCACAAGTTTGCGAAATCCTTTAGGCGTAAACAAGAAAAAAAAAATCCCAATTCTAGTTCTTTATGAAATTAATATGCATATGGCACTTGTGTTAGTAACCAGCTGACCGCCAATCTATACAGAGACCGGGTCATGAAGTCTGGGTTCGAGACCTGGCCGAATCCATGGGCGAGACTTTTTACGCAAAGCGCCTCTCTCCACCCGTGTGTGTTAATGGGAGCCAAGGAACTGTTTCGGAAATGCTGGGGTGTAACCTTGCAATAAAATGGCATCCCCTTCATATTCTTAGTGGCTTCATGTTATAGAAACTGATTACCGGCTGGATGGGTCACTTTATTCTAACCCAGAATAAAACCCGGACCTTTAAATAAATATCCTTACTTGACCCTAATTTCACACTCTTCGAGATTAAATAATGGCCAATATATCAGTGTTTGGCTCCATTGAGAACAAATCCGTTTCAAAAGACGGCGATAGACCTCATTGCAAAGGAGGAGGGATTGAGGTTCCCGTGAGAATATTTTTTCTAAGTCAATAAGATACAAAACTAGAAATTCAGATTGCGAAAAAGTGCGAATCCGAGGAATGTAAACGAAATCTATCACCGTTATTTTCTCATGCTATCAGTCAAAACTCATCCAATATGATGTCATGTATTGTTATATATCATCATTTTCATTATCATAATCAAGATTATTATCGTAAGCATTATCATGTCACAATGAGAGTGTCACGAGTACACACGGATTTCCCCACCCCTCCCCTTTCAGAATGAGTGTCATGAGTACACACGGATTTCTCCACCCCACCCCTTTCAGAATGAGTGTCACGAGTACACACGGATTTCCCCACCCCACCCCTTTCAGAATGAGAGTGTCATGAATACACACGGATTTCCCCACCCACCCCCTTCATTCCCCATCTCCATACTTAACGCTACGAGAGGTTTCGCTTGAGTTCAGATGGAAGGAGTTAAGGTAAACGGGTGACCTTTTCCCACAAGAGTTGCTGTGATAAACGGATGAGACAAAACTCGATCAAAGATTTTAGCTCGAGAAATAGAGATGCTTTGTTTTATGGTCGTATTTCTATGCATTCGTGATATTACCCAATTGGTAAGATATGAGTTTCCACTGATTTGCTTTCCTTAAAGTTGTACACAGTTCCCTTGGCTGTCAATATCGATCATAAAAAAGAATCTTGAGAAGCATTCTTCGTCTTAAAAGCTTTAATTGATTTACTTTGATGTCTACAGCTCTCACAGATATCGATTTGATACAACTTAACATCATTCCTATGAAAGGTATATCTAAGTTTACATTGAACTGGCAATTTATAAGCACCGAATAATATCGTATTTTTATTTTATTTTTAAGTCTCATTTGAAGGTACAAGTTTTTTTCCCATCTGCTCATATTTCATGCCTCGACGCCTTGAAAGCTATTTATGGAAGAAGGATTGCTCTCCTCGCATTCTTTCGGTTCGTCTGTTTTCCTCCAGTAACACTGCTCACCAGTTGCATCCACTTCACAGTGCTCATACCTATGCCAGCAAAACGATTTCAAGAACTGCCAGGGGGCTAACTGATTTGCCTTCATCTCACATCCGGGCAACTTTTTCTGACATTCTAGGTCGGTTTCACCACACAGTTTCAACTGACATTGACGACATCCGGCTTCATAATACTGAAATTTTTCTCTCTCTTGTGGGATCACATTATTCCACTCCTTCCGCAATGAGGAGAATCTCGTATACATTCCTACACCTTTCAAAATTTCGCCGTGCAAAAGGTACTCAGCGCCTGCTCTGATCCCATAAGGGCCAGTCACTCTCTCTGTCGACATATTACCGGGAGTGTAAAGTTTGGTAGCGTTCAGGGCAGGTCCGCGTGACAATCCTCTGAAGACTTCCGTGATGTTTATGCTGAAAACTTCATAGTGACCTTCCGGATCTGTTTCAGGTCCCGACACAACATCGGCACGTATAACTGTGATGGAAAAGATAGTGTCGTGAAAACTTTGCAATATGTAGACCCTTTCGTTAAATAACAAATTACAGCATTGAACTTCGCCAGTTCAAAGGATATTTATCCCCAAAATCGCGGGCTCATAAGCAAATCAGCGTAGGTCGCACGCCTGTTTCTTTATTTTCAAAGCTAAGCGACATTATTACAGAAGTTTGGTGCAAATTTAGGTTCGTAACTTTTAAACTTATTCAAATTTCATCTGCCTTGATCTACCACTTTCTTGTTATGGTATGCCACGCATAAGCTTCTTTGATTCCTTTTTCAGTTCTCCCGACAATTTGAAACTAATTTTTCATTGACCATTTAACGCTTAATTGGGTGAGACAATTCTGAAAGACAAATAAAATTGTGGCAGGAATCCCTGGTGTTGAGCTCCAAAACTTAAGCTTTCCTTCTTGAATCCTTATAAGTTGAATGATGAACTCAAATCCGTTATAGGACCCTTTTCAACCGGGCCGGCTGTCGATTGAATATTGCAACATAAAACAGGAGCCTGGGATCCCTATAAACCCTAAACTGACACATGGTCATTGCTACTTTAACAGAACCATGATCTCTTAAAATTTTCAATGAAGCGCAAAACTCACCAAAGTCTGCTTTACAAAAAACCTGCTGAGGATGCTCCAACACAGGCTTTTGAATAAGGCCGGCATGACAGGACGCCAATAAGTATGAGACCACCAAGAGACATGCATGAACTTCCATGGCTCACAATTTCTGCTCTGACTCTAGTCCGCTGATGTTCAGTAAGAGTGTGGTTACTTCAGCTGATGAATCACGTCTGCCTGACAGAAACAAGTTAAGTCCATCCTTATGTGATTCCTGTACCAACGGGAGTTGTGTGGGTGGGTTACGGAAGGATGTCAAACTTGTTACGTAAATACTTCTGATGATGCAATTCTTAACCGCTGTTTGACTTCCGGTGAAATTCCAGCTCGTGACAAGTCATTCACGCGCACGCAGTCAGATTGAGTCTTTGGCAACACGTGTGTTGAGAGGTTTTACCCTGACCTTTGGAAAGAAAAAAATTTTAGGGATATATTTCAAGCGCTATTGTTTAATTTTTTTAATCGTCAAATGGTGACCTTGAATTATATTCACGAGAAAAAAAAATTAAAAATAGATTTAGTGGTCTTCTATTACGTTCTTTAAGGGGCTTCGCTCTGGCAAAAGGCTAACGCTCGAAACGTCAGCTTTTAAACTCGGAGGCCAATCTACGTTATTCACCCAGTTGAAAATACTAACCCTGCTTACCTGAGTAAATTGACTTACGAAGTACCGAAAAAACAGTGACGCATATGCCAAATGTTTTAGTACAATTAACTTTTCAAACAGGAAGGCACGTTTTACGGGAAAACAAAACCGATCTCTGTTCTTATCGCTATTATGTTACACAATTAGGCACATGAAAGACGTTTTCCTGAATCAAGCATTTTTGAATAGGATGGCACGTTTCAGTCGCAAGGGAAACCCACTTGCATCTTCGCCATGATCGATGATTGTGGATTAATTGCTTCTCTCGCACTGTCTCTGAAAGGATTTCCTATCATTTGGATAAGTGCTGGAAAACTCATGGCGCAATCTAGGTCGGTTTACAAGAAAATAAACAAAATTTCACATCACTTCATGGACTAAGTTTCATACACAATTTGATTTGGTTAATTTTGGTTTCGGTTAATTTGAAGTAGTTATTTGTAAGAAAAACACAATTGAATATAACTTTGGATTCTTTGACCCTCGGCCTACTCCCACTCTGCTGAAAAACACAAGCCTATACGTCCGGTACATTTAACTTTCTTCCAACGAGCAGAATTTATCCAAGTTAATCCGAGAGCACGTTCCGTTCAGAGTCAACTGAGAGTCTGTGTTTTTGTGTTTTATTTTTCTGGCGCTTGCTAATATGCTATTTTAGAAGCTTTAACAATGTTTGGCTTAATTGTGGCTGTTTCACGAGCTGTCTTAAACCCTTTATCCCCATGAGTGACCAAGAAAGAATTTCTCCCTACAATACGGATACAATATCAACCAGATAAGTGATGGGAATAAAGAATAATATCAATTTGGGGATAATTAGTTGATCCAATACTAAATTCTCTGAACTAAGATTATAAGAATTGCATGGTTGACAGTAAGGAGAATTTCAAATTTGATCAGGGAAGTAAATAGTTAACAGATGTTCTTATTCAAGTCTGCTAATTCCATATCTGACCGCAATTCAGCTCTAATTAAAAATGTTATTTGAATTCTGCAACACGTACTCCTGTCCACGATAAAAACATCACCCCCTCATTTTAGAGTTATGTGGCCTAAATTACATAAACAGCTGGAACAACACACTACTGTTGATGTACTATACAAATGATGAGCCAAAATAGTTTTTTTCAAGACCACTCCTAATTAAGAAAGAGACTTTTTTGTCTAAAAATGTATATACATTCCTGGCACTTGTGACTTGCAGCGAAACGCACTAATTTTGCTGCTAGAGGTATGAGGAATTCTTTGCGTGAAAACAATCTGGAAACACGGGATTCTCTCTCGTCTAGTCTTCTTATATCATAAATTTGTAATTTTAGGTTTACAAGATCATTTGCGTTAGAATATGTTTGTAAACTGACCGCCGATCTTTACTGATTTCCCTTCTCAAGTATTTAATTTGACACTCTTCCGAGACTCTTAAAAGCTATTGATGTGTTTATACAACAGTAAGCCTCTCTCTTAGGTATCCTTCTGTATTGCCATAAAAGCAAGATAATGCGAATTCCATCATGCTCACACGCTCAAGCTGAAAGTATTTGAAACACAGAAAGGAAGAAAGGTCACTTTTTTTCAGCCCGTGCTGCCCAAATAGACGCCGAGTTTTCAATAGGTTCGAAGATCAGAATGGACGTGTGCGATTTGATAACATTTGAGTCACGGACACTCGTGCTTTCAGACATAGATCTGCTCAGCAAGACGTCTGCGGGATTGATTGATATGTGCGTAACAGCCATTATTTGGCAAGAAAACAAATCGTGGAAAGATGCGAATCTGATAAATCGAGAAGGAAGAGTCACTGTTTTTACATCATCACATCATCATGTAAGCTTACGCTGTAATTGAAGACCTGGAAATGAAAACATGCTTTCGAAATAGTTTTCCTAAATAAGGTATTTCATTTTTCTTAAGCTTTCCGGGGAGTTTTAATTTCTTTATTGATGTCTGCGTATGAAAGGGAAACAAACAGGAGATCATACGATCCCATCTTTCCTCTACGAAACAAACAATGGGAACCACTTAGAGTGATAAGTATCCAATTTCTCCCCACAGTATCACCCCAGAATCAAACATTAGGGTGAAGAGAATGAAGGAAATGATCGCGAACTAACGAAACTCTTTATGATGGCAAATTTACATCAGCAACTCAGTTAATAAAACTGAGTTGTTCATCTTATGATATCCGCCACCGACGTAACATCACGGTATCTTTAGAGACTTACCCCCCTTATTTAAAGACCACAAATAGATTGTAGTTCGGCAAATCCATATCCTAGGTATGTAAACATTCCGAGTGCTTTACTTAAAATCTCCAAAGCAGAACGAATTTCTATGACATTTCCGCTATATGTCGTAAAAAAGAAATAAGGCAGGCTCGCATCATTGTTTAGATAGTCTTTAACTCCAACAATACTCTGTAATGTTCATTTCTCAACTTAAACAACGTCTGTCCATCTCAGCTAAAACCCACACATAAACCATCATACTCCAAGATTACCAATCAAAAGGTTTACCTGATATCGATGAGATTAGTTGTTTGATACTAACTCAACGAACAAGGCGCAAATTTCGAAACCAGAGAGCGGCAGAAACTCGCTAGTTGAAATCACCCAAAACATGTTAAGTGAAATAACCGTTAAACGTCAGTCTTCGCAGATTTTGACCTGTATTTTTGGTAACGATTTTCAAAGGCTTTAAAGAAAACAGATCAGTCAACTCAGATGGAAAGATCAAACGAACAAACAACAGGACAACGTTACGAGAAGGTGTAAGATTTTTTATACAATTTATTAATGCAAACAGTGAAGTCTACTTTATATACAACTATTTAGTAGCAATTTACGCAATAAAGAAGGTACAAGTTTTCAACTTGGTTAATAAAACTAGACCTTGACAATTCACTGGCCTAATTTTTAAATTTTGCACACAACAACAGTTAAAAAAATACGATTCTAGCACTTCAGTACGAACAGAAATTATGAATCGCGATGCAAATTACGGCCATTGGTCTTGAAACTGGTTATGGATTCTAATTCCTCCATCATAACAGTCCTCAGCGTATTTTACCCTAACACCATATTCCTGCCTTGGCGTGATATCACCCCACTCCAGACGGATATCGCAAAATTCGGAACTTAACTTGTTGTTGTCTAGTCTGCCTGACAGGAGATACTCCTGACCTTCGCGGAGCAGGAAGCTGCATGAAATAAACCGAGGAGGGGTGTGCAGCTCAACTGTATACACTGGGCTCTCGCCTCTGATAGACGGTGTGAATCCTGCCAGCTGATTAAGTTGTTCTTTACCCTTGAAAACTTCAACAATTTTCAGATTGTAGACTTGAGAAGAAGAATAAAGGCTGAATGTGTCATTATCAGACTGGACATGGAGGGCATTTGTAGCGTTGGACGTAACCTTGGCTTTCATGACTGTTTAAAAAAATCGAAAGAAATCATATTCCTGAATTTTGAAAAGAACATGAGCTCTTAATCTTAAACACGAGGGTGGCTAGTGCATATTGTGGAACAAATGCAAAAAAAAATATTAATAATAGTGATATAGATGATAATAACAAACAAGCTTATATCTTTATTTCAAGGGCTAAAATCTATTTACAATGGAATCTATAATTCTATATTTTTTACATATGTCGATAACAATAAAATTTTAAATATAAATACATTACTAATGTGTTTGCTAAGAGGAAAAAAAGCAAAACATAAAATATATTGAAAAATCTCTTACGCCTTTCTTTGAATTGTGACCAAGAACTTCACCCAACCAAAATTGAACTAATATAGTAGCCATGTTTTTGCACTGCAATTGCTTACCGATGGCAGCGGCACAAAAGTCTTTTCGCAGTCCTCTAAACCGGCACATACAGCTCTGGCTGGCAGTTATGAAGCTGAAACAAAATATAAAACCGATAGAGATTGCAAATGACATGTTTTGTCCTTGTATCCGTCCAGGGATTCCCTACAGGTCTTACACAGGACTCTTCTTCGCTTAGTTTCTTCGGCTTTGCTTGTTTCTGGACTACGCTGTCTCTATTTATACACTTACTGTAGATGTCAACAAATCGTTTACTCCAGCAGTTAGAAAGACATCCACTTCTGCCTCATATAATCTTCCAATTTTCTTTATTAAAATAACAGACATTGCCCCAGATTCAGCTGGTGCAATTATTATCATTCGTAAGAATTTTAACAACTGAAAGAAAACGGCACGATATTAAATTTTTTTTCTGTTCGCCATTTCCAGTAAACAGCAAAAATTGATGAATTATCGCAACATTGAATATCACGTAGTCTACGATTTCGACGCAAACACGGATAACTGCTAAACGACTTCCTGTCCTACTTTTCCCCATAATTTAAAAATAACTTCGGTTCAAAATACGTCAACTCGCAAAATTCCGTTGCAAAAGCTCCCGCTTTTATAATGACCAATTCTATAACCCTGTACGCACTGTTAGCCTGTCCTACGCCTATGAGCTGTGAGCACGTTCAGATTGGATAATACTTGGAACACATTACACCGCGCACGACCACTGGAGCTTGAGAAACA